GTCTGTAGGACCTTGTAATTTTTATCTTGGTTCTCGATTCGGCTATTATAAGTTTAGATGACAAAGAAATAAAAGACAACATTTCAGTTGGTGTTTAAAAAAAGCAGTATATCTGTTTGGCATCAATGGTACAGAGATGTCAATATAGAAGTAATTAAAGTATTTAGTGTATCACACGAATCGAAATAAAGTTGTAGTCAGTGAAATGTGTTAGTTATGTGATGTCGTCGGTGAAATGGATCTAATTTTAATTAGAAAGTTATAACGTCGATCTGGTTTAGAAAACCGAACCGTCAACCGTGTGCATCAGAACCAATAACATAGAGCTCATGCAGAAAGCGTCATGCCTTACGTCGTCCACCTATATAATACCCTTTCAATTGTTCAAGAAACCGTTGAGTTAAGACTATAAATCCCTATGTCTTCTAATGTTTAAACTAGTGTAGACCGCAATGTCCTTAATAGTTCTTCCCCAAATAATACAATCATGGTGCATATGCAGCACATCTTTGTAGTATAATAACCAATTTATGGTGGTTAAGTAGTTGAAAATTTATCATGTAAGCTAGAAAATTATGATTCAAAAAATTTCACAGAGATTTCAATAATGATTGACCATACAGATGCTTTAAATACAAAAAAAAAAAAACTTAACATTTTCATAAGTTCCGACGATTAGTTTTAAGAGTTAATTTGCTACATAACAAAAAAATAAATACTAATTAGGTAAATGACAAAAGAAGGGGAATTCCTTTGTAAAACACTAGGGAGTTTTGTTAAGATTTTTGTCATTTCCCTAATTAACCCTATTTTTTTTTTGCTATCAACCCTAATTAATTTCTCTAGTTTTTAAAGAATTTATACATAGTTTATGAAAAAAATTGATGAATACAAATAAAGTGATTCTTTCATTTTTGTATCTGAACACCTGCAAATAACTTACAATAATAATAAATTATCCTCACCAAGTGACAGGAGGTTCGCCCTAGCCGCTCTCTCTAGCGCAAGTATCGAGGCAACAAAAAAAGCTTCTTCTTCCGGCGCCGGTCCGTTATCTTTGCTCCTCTGTCGCTTCGTGTCTATTCATCGGGTCCCTCTTGGCTCACTGCTCCAAAACCCACCACTCACGGGTCTCCTCCACCGTCCACCACCATCGCGAAAGGATGCAGATTCTTTGTGGATATGGCTCCATCAACATCCATACTCTCCTCTCGGTTGAAATAACCGAAGACCTATCTCCTTCCGGCTTCCATCTATCTTCAATAAAAGCTTCATCGGAAGCCCGAACAACCTTGCTGAGCTCGTTAAAATATGTTTTCTCCACATCGAGCGTGGAGAGACCACATCCCATTCACCGAAATTTTCCTCCACAGTATGCTCTGAACTCAGCCTCATCGATAGCCTTGGCTCCGGTGAGAGATCAGAAGATCAAGCTTCGCCTATGGCCGTCCCCTCTGAGCTTCACGGTCCATGTGACCAAATATCTAGATGTGGATCTATGCGGCACCAGATCTGGTTTGTCGAATTCTCGAAGATTTGTTGCTCCACCTTCCGGAACTCTCGAAGGTCCGTTATCTTTTTATCTCGTCCGTTTGATAGACCGGAAATTTTTCACCGGTCAATTGGCAACCATCAACGATTTGTCCGATGAGTCTTCATCAGAGAAAAATTTTCCAGCCATCGACAAAACATGTTGCCTTCACCATCTGTTTCCAACTGTGGGCCGAGCCCAAGAGCTTCACCTAATGGGCCATGTTCCCATCCTTAGCCCAACATATCCTCTGTGCGAGTATATCTCCAAT